GGGGGGGGGGGGAACAGAGTCTCCGCCCAAAAGCGCCGGCAAAGTCGGTGGTGGGAGCAAGGGCTGCAGATCCTGGATGAGATCAACCAGGAGCAACTGGCTTGGCAACTTCAGAAAAGGAGGAGGACACATTTGTTGCAAGAGAGGAACCGGATTCATCCCTGGTTTGGGTTTCTCCTGCTCAGAGGGGTCCTCTTGCACCAGATCCCCTTTGCCTTGCTTCTCAGACTGGATTACAAACCCAGCGATCGCCCCAGATCTTGGAGTGAATTCTTTGCCTTGTAATTCGGAGTGGATTTCTGTTCTTCTTTCCAGCTGCAGGGAGCGAGAAGGAAGAGGAGGCACCAGAAAAGGTAATCGCCTTATTTTTGTCACCTTGAACTGGGGTTAAGAGCTTGTCAGACATTGTGGATCTGACTGACTAGGGAAAGGCAGGAGGGAAAACACACACACAGCTTCTAAGGGTGCCTCTGCACTGTAGAAATAATCCAGTTTGACACCGCATCAGCTCAGGGGGTCTTGGATCCTGGGGTCTGTAGTTTGTTCTGGCACCAGAGCTCTTTGGCAGAGGAGGCCAAGGTGACCAGGTGTCCTCACCTGCAAAGGAGGACAAGGCACAGCAATAATAATAATAATAATAATAATAATAATAAATAAAAAAATGTAGGACCTGCAAGAGAAATGGAGGACAAGGCCAAGGAAAAGCTAGAGACGCTCATGGAAACGTCAATGGAAATGCATGCTCCTTAGTCATGCTCAAAAGGGCTAAATATCTCTCAAAACCACAAAGCCCAGAATTCCATAGCGCTGAAAGTGGTGTCAAACTGGATTATCTCTGCAGTGCGGATGCATCTACAATGTAGAAATCGTGGAGTTTGACCCTGCTTTAAGTGCTGTAGTGCCTTCCTATGGGATCCTGGGGTTTTGTAAAGGACAATAGCATCCCAAAGCCAACATTTGGATGTGATTGTACTTTATGGCCAACACAGCTGGTCCTTAATATATTTATTTCCTGGGGCTTGTAGTTTTACAAGGCCTTTAGCCTTTCATGCCAAAGAGGGATGGTGCTTCACAAAACTACAAATCCCTTGAGTCTGTAGGATGGAGCCACAGCAGTTAAAGTGGGATCAAACTGCATTATTTCTACAGTGTAGAGTTGCACCCTGAGTACCTGATCTTGCTTGGGCTTAGAGCCAGAGTCACCCGCTTCTTGGCTTCTAGTACAAGAAAGTGGATTTTGGACTTAAGGAGCCAGTCCAATTAAGTTAAGAAGCAAAGTAGGACTTTTTCTTGACTTGGGGCTGACCAGTGTTTAGCCACCAAATCCTTCAGTGCCTTGTTTGGCCTTGGAAAAACATGAAGTGGTACTGAAGACAAGAGTACCCCGGATCATGGGCAGAGTGCCTTTCCTTTTCTACCAGTGGTCAGGCATATAAAGCACTTTGGTGTGGAAATTAGCCTGCAGTCACCTCGTCCCCTTTCACGTTGTTCCGCACATGACACGAAATGCTATCTCTATGTATGCGTTTGCTGTGGTTTTCTAGTTCTGCCTTTCCTTGCTTTTCTAGATGTGGGTTTCTTCTCTGGAATCAAAAAAAAGGAGTCTTTGAGTTTGCAGCAAGGGGATACAGCAAAAGTGTGCTTTTGTGGATATGCACTAATTGTGTACCGTTTTTGTGCATGGAGTACTTTCCCTGCAGGGTTTTGGTCATGGCTCAAGCAGTGCTAGGAATGCCACACAGTTAAATCCCTTTCTGCAATAAGGGAAGAAGGCTGGAAGGCATTAGATCCCATCTGAGCTTGGAAGCTAAGCAGGGTCAGTTCTGGTTAGGACTTGGATGGCAAGCCGCCAGCGAATACCATGGTGCTGGAGCTACATTTCTGAGGAAGGAAGAGGCGGAACCACCTCTTGAGTATACCTTGCCCAAGAAAAACCCTATGAAATTCATGGGGTCTCCATAAGTCAACAGGTGGAGACCCTATGGCGAACCTATCACGGGCTTTTCTTGGCATGATTTGTTCAGGGCAGGTTTGCCACTGCCTTCCCCTGGGGCTGAGAGAGTGTGACTTGCCCAAGGTCACCAAGTGGATTTTGTGGCCAAGCTGGGAATCAAACCCTGGTCTCCAGCGTCGTAGTCCAACATTCAAACCACACAAACACTGCAATAAGGGACAAAGCTGTTTAGATAAGGTTCAAGTGTCATATCACCTTTTATATTGGCCTGTGTGTATCTGCCTTTAAGATTCCTTCTGACTTATGGTGACCGCATGAATTTCATAGGGTTTTCGTGTGTGTGTGTGTGTGTGTTGTTTGCCTTCAAGTATTTCCAATTTATGGTGACCCTAAGATGATCATGAGGTTTTCTTGGCAAGTTTCTTTAGAGAGGGTTTGCCATGGCCTCCCCAAGTCTGAGAGAGTGTGACTTGCCCAAGTGGTCACCCAGTGGGTTTTCCTGGCCACGCGGGGATTCGAACCTTGATCGGTCAGGAATACTTAAGATTTGGTTTTGCCAGTTCCTTCCTCTGAAACAGTGGCATCCCTAGGGTTGGTGTCACCCGGTGTGGTAACTCACGGTGTCACATTCCCTATTGACCTCCTCCCATTTTACACCATACAGAATCCTTAGTAATGCTTTTTTGCACTAATTTTACTCGTAAATCGTAATTCCCATGTATCACCGAATGTGCTGCTAATAGTTGTGACATAAACAAATAGCAAATTTAAAATTATATCTTCAAATTAAAAACATCATAAGCACAACCTAAATGTATTTACATATACCGTACATACTGAAGATTTGGTTAAAAGGTGCTGTTTTTAAAGAAAATTTTAAAATAATTTTAAAAATTTTAACATTTCAATTAATTAAAAAAAAATAAAATTTGAAATTTTAATTGTAAAAAAATCTCCTTTCTTCTCCCACTGAGCTTCACCCCACTCCCACCATCTCTTAAAGCATTTTCAAAGGAAGCAGGTGAGTGTCACAGCCTGTTTCTGCCAAAAGGTAGGTGTTTGAGAAGCAGTGGTGTCACCCCCTTTTAGGGTGTAAACTGGTGCAGTCCGCACCCCGCTAGTGACACCATTGCTCTGCAATGTATCCTACAGCGCCCATCCAAGTACTAACCAGGGCTGACCCTGCTTAGCTCCCAAGATCAAATGGGATTGGGCGCCTTTAGGATATATAGGCCCTTAAATACAGCCAGCCCTTTGTGTCAACGCATTTTTATAATGTACAGATTCAAGTATCCAAGGATTAAAAATATTCCAAAAAATATCAATTCCTAAAAGCGAACCTTGATTGTGCCATTTTCCTATATAAGGGAGGCCATTTTATATACTCTCCCATTGTATTTCATGGGACTTGAGCATCCATGGATTTCAATATCCACAGAGGGTCTTGGAACCAAACCCCAGCAGATACCAAGGGCTCACTGTCCTTGGACCTGGGGTTAGATTCGGAGCTTGGTTTCCCCACATTGTGAGAAATCTGGCAAAAACCGAGATCAGGTCTGACCCATTGGAGAATAACAATTCCCTTTTCCTTTGAATCTGGATTTCCTTTTTCACTGTGCGAGGAGGTATCCCAGGCTGGAGGCGCCTGAGACCCCGGCGTGTGCAACGTTGTCGCCCTTGGCTTCCCATTTTTCAGGGATGACGCCAGCTGTTCCGAAAGAAAGGCAGGTGGCCTGTGCGCTCTTGTGCTTCCTGCATATGTGCCGGGAATGTGGAGTGCCTCTGAAAAAGTGCATTGGGTACGCAGAGAGAAAAAAGAGAGAGAGAGAGTCCAGCCCAGGCTGACTTCACAAGAACAGCAGCAAATCATCTGCTGGCATTTATTTTTATTTAATTTTTTTTTTTAGAGCGCAAACCTGCACTTAAATTTAAAAATTAATATTTAGCTTCAAAAGTATAGGAAGAACGAGGCTAGCCTCCTGGACAGAATTGCTGTATGATTGATTAAGGCGATTAAAGCAACGGAAGCACTTGGAACACTTAGGAAATACACCATATACAGTTATGCATTCTTGTTACTGCTAGCAACAGCATTAGATCTGAGACCGCTTGCTTGTTTGCTTGTTGTTATTTGACATCACATCTGCTTCGATTTATGGCAGCCCTGTGAATGAGAGATCCTTATGAGCCCTGGTCATTAAGAATCCTATTCAGGTCTCACAATCTCAAGGCTGTGGCTTCCTGGATTGGATCAATCCATCTTTAATGTGGCAATCCATACATAGAAAATGGAAATACAGTACTACTGCATAGATGATTCTGACTTTGGTACTTATTGATGAAACAACCTGCTGGCTAGTCGTAAACTAAAGTAGGCTTAATAAATCAATTGCTAGCACTTAGAGATAAATCCCATTTTTTCAGTGGTTCTGATTTGAGCATTAGTAATAATATGTGAGAGACAGCTTAGTGGTTTGAGCGTTGGACTGTGATTCTGTAGACCACGGTTCAAATCCCTGCTCAGCCATGTAAACCCATTGGGTGACATTGAGCAAGTCACATTCTCTCAGCCTCAGAGGATAGCAATGGGAAACCCGCTCTGAAGAAACTTGCCAAGAAAACCCCATTATAGGTTCACCTTACGGTCACCATAAGTCACAACTTGAAGGCACACAACAGCAAATGAAAAAAATGCATCATATGTAATGAGCGCATACATGAGATCACTCTGTTGATTTGTCATCCCTTGATATTTTTTTAATAGTTTGTATTGTAATGAGTCAGCTTCAAGAGCGATAAGAGGCAGAGCCTGGAAAAGGTTTGTTTTGTTTTGGACTACAGCTTCCAGAATCCATCAACCAACATATTTTGTACCTTTGGGGAGTCTGTGGGAAGCCCAAAAGCAGTGTGTGTATCAGGGCCACCCCAAGACTTTTTGCTGCCTGAGGAAGGGTAGCAAATGATGCTATGCACCCATCCATCCAAGTCAAAGGGCATATAGTACCCAAAGGTGCCATGGTTATTTTAGCACAGGAGTAAAAAAAAATCACAGAAGGACCTTTTCCCATCACTGAAAATCAGTTCACGGGAAGAAAGGTGGAATATACATGTAATACTAAAATAAGTAAATTCTGTTTCCCATTGGCTTGATGGTATGTGGAAGTGTGCAGAGCACATCTCTGTTTTCAGAGGCCCATTGCACTTCTGCCAGGTTCAGAGGAGGGTGGACCACTCAGCATTTGAGACCCATGCAACAGGTTACTTGAGAGAAGTAAGCTTCCCATTGATGTCCTTGAATATTCATTTTCCCCCTCCCATATAAGTGAATGGCTGTCATTCACCCATGATGAAGAAAAGTAAACAAGAAATCTGAGGATGATTAAGATTTACTGCCAAGCAAGTTGTACATAAAATTATGCCCTCAGTTACCTTAGATTGCAACCCTTTGCTCACTTATAGGGAAATAAACACCATGAAACACAGCAGGAAGAGCCAGTGTGGCGTGGCAGTTTGAATATTGGACTATGACTCTGGAGAACAGGGTTCGATTCCCAGCTAGGCTATGAAAACCACTGGGTGACCTTGGGTGAGTCACACTCTCTCAGCTTCAAGGGAAGGCACTGGCAAAGCTCCTCTGAACAAATCTTGCCAAGAAAACCCTATGATAGGTTTGCCTTAGGGTCTCCATTAGTCGGGATATACTTGAAGGCACACAACATAACACACACACAGAGTTATCAGCTGGAGAGCCAGCAGAGTGGAATGGTTTGGAGGTTGGGGTAGGAATCCGAAAGAGCAGGGTTCGATTCCCTGGTCAGCCATGGTAGCCCACTGAGTGAACATATTCAGGGGTAGCTGTGTTGCCCATTGATTAAAATACAACCAAGTCCAAAATCTACAAACAGCAATACCCTTTTTTTGGGGGGGGATGACAACTAAAAAGCACAAAATAAATACATCATGCAAGTTGGGCGAATTACACTCTCTCTGCCTCAGAGGAGGGTAATGGCAAACCCCCTCTGAAAAAATCTTTCCCCCAAACCCTCTGTGATAGGGTCACCTTTGTTGTTGTTAACTGCCTTCGCATTGGTCTCACTGGGAATAAAAAAGTGAAACTTCTGCATTCATAATAGTAATGTGGCATGTACAGTGGGCCCTTGGCATCAGCTGGGTTTGGGTTCCAGGACTCCCCATGGATACAAAAATCTGTGGATGCTCAACTCACATCGTATACAATGGCATAGTAAAATGGTGTCCCTCGTATAAAATGGCAAATTCAAGATTTGCTGTTTGGAATTTATTGTTGTTGTTGTTGTTAACTGCCTTTGCTTCAATCTTCTTGACCCATGGCAACCATCTCCAGGCCCCCCTCATCCTCTAATATTAATAATAATAATTTTTATTTATACCCCACCTTTTGCCGTAGCAGTCAAGGAGGCTTACATCTAAAACAACACAAAAATTACCCCCATAGTGAACAAAAAATCATATAAATAAACACACTAACCCCCCCCCCACCTTAAAAGTACATTAAACTCTACTGCTCTGCCCAGTTCCTGCAAACTCTTATTCGTGGTCTCTTTAATAAAGTCCATCCATCTAGCATGTGGCCTTCCTTTCTTTCTACTTCCCTCCACCTTTCCTAACATTGGACCTTTGCAGACTGCTAGAAATAGTGCAAATTGAGGCCACTTTAACTGCCCTGGCTCAGTGCTAGGGAATCATGGGAATTGTATTTTTTTTCTGAGACATTGAGCCTTCTCTGTCAGAGAGCTCTGGTGCTGCAATAAACTACAGTTCCCATGATTCCCTAGCACTGAGCCAGGGCAGTTAAAGTGGACTCAATTTGCACTATTTCTGGCAGTCTGCAAAGGCCCATTGTCTTCCAATGATTCATGCCTTCTCATGATGTGTCCAAAGTACGACGGTCTAAGTCTTGTCATCTTGCCTTCTAGGGATATCTCTGGCTGGATCTGTTTTAGGATCCATTTGTTTGTCCTTTTGGTTGTCCATGGGATCCTCAGCACTCTTCTCCAGCACCACATCTCAAATGCATTGATTTTCCTCCTGTCTTCTTTCTTGACAGTCCAGCTCTCACATCCACACATGCAGAGTCAACTTGAAGGCTCATAAGAGCAACAAATGGCCATTAGAAAAGAAGAAAGCCAGCGAAGCATAATGGCTTGAGTGCTGGACAACGACTCTGTGGGCCAGGGTTTGATTCCCAGCTCAGCCATGAAACCCATTGGGTGACCTTGGGCAAGTCACACACTCTCAGCCTCAGGGGAAGGCAATGATAAACTTTCTCTGAACAAATCTTGCCAAGAAAATCCCATGATAGATTTGTTTTAGGGTCGCCATAAGTCGGAAATGACTTGAAGGCACACAACAACAACAGTAAAATGAAAGAATGAGCCACAACTTGCCTGCATCTCAGTTAAGCTGATGGAATGGCCCTTCTTTCTTTCTGTTCAGCACTATGCCTGATGGAAAAGCTATTGCAAGATGACAATTGATGAAGGAAGAAGCCTGGGGGAATTGGCTTTTCTGCAGAGCCCATGGTGGCCCTGCTTTCCTTCACTTCCTTTGCTGGGCGTGACAGAAACTGGAGATCTGTTTTTTGTATAGGAAGATTTTTCAGATAAGGTTGCTGATCCTGTGATTTGTCAGAGGCTGCACACTACATGTGTAGACGAGGAAGGCAAAATGAAATTAGCAATGCTTTTAGGCAACCTGTTGAATCCTTTCAAAATATTTAATAATGGTTTCATAATGGTTTTAAGTTGTCACGTTGAGATCTCTAGATAAAGTTGGGAACATAAATATTTTAAAATATAAAGTTAGCAGGGACATGTCCGCTCCTCAAATAACTCTGCTCTTTATTCTCAGTTCTGAAACATGTATGCGCCTGTAGAGCACACAATCCAGCCTCTCTCGCCTTGCATTTTTGAATATGAACATATAAAAACATTTTATGGGCACGCCTTCAGTGTGATGTGACTCTGAATTCCTAACTTGGAGGTGGAAATCATGCAGCCCTCTAGATGTTTTTGGACAGTATTTCCCATCAAAGCCCACAAGGTGAAGAATGGAGGGCATTACTGTTTAACATCTACAATGCCTTATGATTCCCACCCTATTCCTACCATATTTATTTTGTTAAAGCATTTTTTCTTACTTTGGTCTTCAGTGAAAAAAGTTCCTAGTGGGATTATTTAAGATCGGGGCAGATGTTGTCCACAGACGAACAGGCTAAAAGACATGGAACAAGAGGGAAGATTGATAGAAGAAGAAGAGATGTACAAGCAGCTTGAGATGCTGCTTCTTAAATACAGTGGGCCTTTGGTATCTGCTGGGGTTTGGTTCAAGGGGGTACCAAATTCTATAGATGCTCAAGTCCCATTATATACAGTAGGGTAGTAAAATGGTGTCTCTTCTATAAAATGGCCAAATCCAGGTTTGCTTTTTGGAATTTTATTTTATTGTATTTTATTGTGGGGGGATATTTTCAAGCCGTGGATGGTGGAATTCATGGATGCAGAATCTGTGGATACGGAGGGCCAACTGTGCTGAAAATTTTTATCATAACCAGCTTGAATGGATATACCTGAGAAAGTGAAAGAGCCAAATAGAACTGGTCCATTAACAAAACCCATTGCATGGACTTTCTTTTCCTTCTCATCCTCTCCTATAGCTAGAGGTTCTTGTTGTTGGTGTTGTGTGCCTTCAAGTTGTTTCTGACTTATAGTGACCCTATCATGGGGTTTTCTTGGCAAGATTTGTTCAGAGGGGGTTTGCCATTGCCTTCTCCTGAGGCTGAGAACATGTGACATGCCCCTGGTCATCCCATGAGTTTCATACCTGAGCGAGGAATTGAACCCTGGTTTCCAGAGTTGCAGTCCAACACTCAAACCACTGCACCATGCTGGCTCCTTTAACACTGCACAATTACAATGCTATAGTTCCACATAACTCTGTTTGTTGTGTGCTGTCAAGTTGTTTTCGACTTAGGGTGACCCATGGGGTTTTCTGGGCAAGTTTCTTCAGAGGGGGTTTCCCATTGCCATCTTCTGAGGCTGAGAGAGTGTGACTTGCCTAAGGACACCCAGTGGGTTTCATGCCCAAGTGGGGAATCAAACCTTGGTCTCTGTAACTGCCAAGGTCTTATTCTGTGAAATGTTGAGGTTTGCAGTAGAGTGAGACACTGGAGGAGCACTCTGAATTTGAAAGGCTCCACCTTAAACCACAGATCCTAGGATTCCACAGGAAAGAACCATGGCAGCTAAAGTGGAATCATAGCACTATACCTGTGTTGTGTGGAAGGACTTGAGGTGAAATGCTAGGTGGTAGGTGAGGGAAAGAGGAACACACATCCTTTCACACTGCAAATTATAGCTCTTCGATTACACATTAGCTGCCATGGCAGCATCATATGAAATCCTAGAGTTTGTAGTTTGGGGATGCTGATTATTCAAACTTATTCAAAACTACAGATCCCAGAGTTTTATAGGAGGCAGTCATGGCAGTTAAAGTGGAACCACAGAGTTATAACTATGTAGTTTGAATGGACACTTTTTTTTTAGTGGACCTAAAGGGCTGGGCCTTGATCCTCACTAATCGTTGTACATCTCCCAGGTGGACTGTCGGAAACAGGATTATGTGCCAAATATTTAGCACAAAGCCAGTGGTGGGGGCTGCTGGGAGGTGCAATCCAACAAAATCTGGAAGATGTCCTTTGCCCATCTCTTTAGGCAAAAGTTTTGAAGCCTTACTTGGATGATCTAGGCTCAAGTTACCACTAAGCCAAGAAAATCACTTTCCCTCTGTCTGATCTGCTTTGTGGGGTTGTAGTTGTGAGTAGTGGTTTGAGCATTGGACTATAACTCTGGAGACCAGGGTTTGATTCCCAGCTTGGCCATGACACCCACTGGGTGACCTTGGACAAGTCACACTGTCTTTGCCTCAGCAGAAGACAATGGCAACCCCCCCTCTGAACAAATATTGCCAAGTTGGAAACAACTTGAAGGCACACAAGAAGAAGGAAGTTGTGAGGATGCCATGGGGAGAAGGAACTATTTATGCCATGCTGAGATCACTGGAGAAGAAGTGGGGTACAGTGGGCCCTTGGTATCCACTGTGGTTTGGTTCCAGGACTTCCCGTGGACACCAAAATCTGTGAATGTTCAAATCCCATTAAATGCAATGGATAGTAAAATGGTGTCCCTTATATACATTGTCAAAATCAAGGTGGTCTTTTTTTTTTTTTTTTTTTTGTAATTTATATATTTTAAAAATATTTTCAAGCCGTGGATGCTTGAATCCATGGATAAAGAATCCGTTGATATGGAGGAGCGACTGTTTATGGAAAAGAATAAAATAAAGAAAATGGAAGGAATGGAAGAGAGCTGGCGGAGAAAGACAGAGGACAAAAGGACAAGATTTTTAAAGCTTCTGTCCAGCCTGCTAGTCACTGAACCATAATTGTTCTCATTGCTATATTAACTGTAAAGCAGAATAATTAACGAAGCTTCGTTGACATATTAATAAAGGCAACCTATTATTGATCAAGCAGTTCATCCAGTTAGGCACCCTACAAACAGTCATTCTTCACAGAACATATAGATTGATTCAGCAAGCGGTCTTTGAAATTAAAACTGACAAGGAGCTTGAACAAGGCAAAAATGACATTAACAGTGTGTCCCTTCTGAACACCCCAAATGAACTGTGGATACTGTAATCATACACAAGCACACAAGAGCTTAGTGTAGTTACATTGCTAGCAACAATTAAAAAGCCTCCTCGATAGTGATCAAATAACTGGTTTTGTGTTTGGCATTAAGACTTGAGCATTGGAATAGGATTCTGGAAACCAGGGTTTGAATCCCGGCTCAGCTGTGGAAATCCACTGGGTGACCTTGGGCAAGTCACAATCTCTCGGCCTCAGGGGAAGGCAATGACAAACCTCCTCTGAAAAATCTTGCCAAGAAAGTTCCATGATAGGTTCGCCTTAGGGTCTCCCTAAATCAAAACAACTTGGAGGCATACAGCAAGAGAATTCACCGTCCTTAGCTTTTCAGATTTCATTGTTTTGAAAAAGTAAGATACTAGTCCTTATTATAGCAAGGGCAGGCTGGAAAAAGGAGACTCAAAAGTGGGTCCAGCATGTGTTCAGTAGGGTTCACATCTCTTTGCTTCTCTTGAAGACCAAGGAAAGCACAATAAAGAAACAACTTTTTTGTGCACATGTTTACTTATTATTGGATCCACTGTGTTCAGTCAGTTCTGCTCCCAGGTAAGTATGCATAGAATTGCCTAATGAACAATCTCTGTACAGTAATATAAAAGAATCTCTGTACAGTAATAGAAAAATATAAAACATGGCTTTTTTTCCCCCTGGAAAACAGAAGGTAAACAATTAGGGAAGGACAGTATACATTAGGGAGCCTGACCTCATAGTCTTTTCATTCTGTGGTTACAGTTGCAACAAACATATTCATGATGAAATACTATAAATATTTAATGTTTACAAACAGTAAGAGCCATTGAATCCAATGAGATTTCCTCTCAGGCAAGTGGCTGTAGTATTGCAGCCCAAATAGCCTTTTCTCTGTGTGTGTGTGTGTGCATGTGTATGTCTTCAGGTCGCTTGTCAATTTATGGTGACTCCATGACTTTCAGTTTTCTTAGGGAAGGAATACTTAGAGGTGGTTTCGCCAGTTGCTTCATCTGAAATACAGCCTCCAGCACCTGGTATTGGTTGGCGGTCTTCCATCCAAGTACTAACCAGGGCTGACCCTGCTTAGCTTCCAAGATCTGGTGCCTTGAGGATATAATGTATTCATGAAGGATGGTGAAATGCAGCCTCCGTGTTCAGAGATGGTCTACCTCTGGTCACCAGATGTTAATTCTCCTCCCACTAAAAAAAACCCAACCCACGAAGAAAAGAAGAAAGGATATCTTCATGGCTCCCTGCCTGTGACCTTCTGATCTGGCTAGCTACTGTCAGTAGATGAAATTCTGCAATAAATAAATTCTTGGTTTGACCTGACATTGCAATTCTTGTGGTCCAGAGCTGGAAACAAGGCTGAGTTTGATTTGGAAAGATTCAGCCTGAGGTCCGCAATTCACTGTCCTAACAATTTGTTGTTGTTGTTATATGCCTTCAAGTCATTTCTGACTTATGGCAACCCTAAGGCGAACCTATCATAGTGTTTTCTTGGCAAGATTTGTTCAGAGAGATTGGACATTACCTTCCCAGAGGTTAAGAGAGTGTGACTTGCCCAAGCTCACTTAGTGGATTTCATGGCCAAGTTGGGAATCGAACCCAAGTCTCCAGAGTCATAGTCCAACACTCAAACTTCACCTTCCTCTGAGGCTGAGAGAGTGTGACTTGCCCAAGGTCACCCAGTGGGTAGTCCACCATCTGCCAGGGCATTTAACACTGCTACAGGACCTCTACACACCAAGTGTATGCATGCTGGGGCATTTGTGTGACATTAGTGAATACAGGCAAACTGTTAGCATCCCTTTTACACCATGGGAGCTTGCTTCCTTCATCCATCACCTGCACTGTAGAAATTCCTCCTCTAAGTGCTTTGGGTCAGGGATCTGCATTTCTGTTTTGTTAGATTGTGTTGCCTGAAGTGTGTTTCACTATGCAAAATAACAAAAACAATCAGCTAGGCCTTACAGGTGTTTTTTCTATTTAGAGACTAAACAGATGCTATGCCTAAACTTTGGCATGTGTTAACCTCATGTTCAGATGAACCGTTGCTCAGTGCAGGAATGGAAACCATGCAGCCCTCCAGATGTTGTTGGACTGCAGTTTCCACCATTAGTTCAGCTGGCTAGGACTGCTGGGAGCTGTAGTTCAGCACCATGTAGTTCCCACTCGACTAAATACACTAAACCAGGGGTTCCCAACATGGGGTGCCAGATGGAATTTCAGGGGATACAACAAAGATACTTGCGTTAATCTGGATGCAGTTTTCTTTATCTTTTGTCAATCAAGACAAAATCTAAGAATTACCTGAATCCAGAGACAGACTTGCAGATCGCAGTTTTGTTTTGTTTTGTTTGTTTTGACAGAATCATGAATGGGAAGCAAGAGCAAAAAAGTAATTGAATTTTATGTTCACAATTGGGATTGATGTTCTTGTGTACATTATTTTCTGAATAAAGTAGAATCTGATTGCTCAGTTTTGATTTGCATTTTATGCATTCAGTTAAAAGCTTATTTTTTAAAAGTTCACTGTTCACCTGCAGTATTGCATCTGGTTCAGTTAGAAATTAGACTTCTTCCTCTTCAAATATTATATTTGTTTTGTAGGGGGTGTGAACATTAGTCAAGCATTTCCTAGGCATGTGGGGTGTAGAAAATGTTGGGAACCACTGCCCTAAAGGCACCCAGTCCCTTCTGATCTTGGAAGCTATGCAGGGTCAGCCCTGGTTAGTACTTGGATGGGAGACCACCAATGAATACCAGGTGCTGCTGTAAGCTATACTTTTCTATTTCTGGCAAAACCACCTCTGATTATTACTTGCCTAATAACCTTATCACATGGGGTCTGAAGTAGAAGGTATCCAAAGGCAATCCAAAGCTAAAACGTTTTTCCTTTCCTTGTGTCCACACATATCCAAAGGCAATCCAAAGCTAAAACGTTTTTCCTTTCCTTGTGTCCACACATATCCAAAAGGCAATCCAAAGCTAAAACGTTTTCTTTCCCCGTGAACCGAAGTCAAAGGGGATCTTTTGACATTCGGTTTTTTGGGGAAGTAAGGCTATGGAAAGTGTCGGAGGGAGGGCGAGGAACCCCTGCCACCGCCTCCTCGAGGCCGGAGAAGCTTCTCAGCCGGTGCCTTGGGCCGGCTGGAGGCCTGAAAGGGAGGGCGAGGTGCGGGAGGGAACCCCCGCCGCCGCCTCCTCGAGG